CAAACTAAGTTATTCAGTAGCCAATTCACCTGCTCACAACTTTAATGCCGGTAGCTCACAAAGTAGAATTTTTGCTCACAGGACTCAACAGCTTAGAGGGAGCATTGCTCACCATCTAGTTTCACATATACACGACCACCACCAGCACTGTCAGACAGTGGCTCAGAACCAGTGGGGGACACCGAGGAAACAGAGACTCGAGATGCAAAAATCCCAACTCAGATGCAGACTCACTGAAATGGCCCGTGACGAGGCCTTCACTGGCTGCGATCACACATACTAAATAATCCACTTTCAATTCACTTCGACCGATTTCCCACAAGCAGCTGCTCTGCCCTTGCTCTTCCCCCCCCCCAATTATATTCATCAATTTTCCACTACTTGCTGCGCGACCACATTTTGACCCGCAGCATCCCCCCGATTTCCCCTGCGTCTTCTCGATCCTTGTTTTTTGAGATCAAGAAGATGCGGGGGAAATCGGGGGGATGCTGCGGGTCAAAATGGGGCCGCGCAGCAAGTAGTGGAAAATTGACGAATACAATTAGGGGGAAAGGGAAGAGCGAGGGTGGTGCAGCGGCTTGCGGGGAATCGGTCTTACCGCTAAGTTTCTCCATGGTTTTATAAAACGGAAGAGTGACCCTGATCATATTAATGATTCTTAATTTATAAGTCTAAAAACTTAAGTTTAAAAGTTTAGAATGCCAGTTTATTTTATGATTCAGGCATCTTTTGTATGGTCAAATCTAGCTTGTGACAACTTGAGTTAGGCCTGACATAGCCACGACTATCTATTTTATAATTTCTTTTGGAATGTATTATTGGTAAATGCTTCTAATATTGTATGCCAATAAAAGGTATTTGAATTGAATTGAATTGAATCGGTCTTAAAGTGAGGGGGAGCAGCGTACCTCCCTAGGGAGGTTGTTCCACCGTCAGGGGCTCCCGCCAAAAAGGCCCTCTCGTGTGTGCTCACCAGGTGAGCTCCTCTGATTGGCGAGACAGTCAGAAGGGCCCCCTCCCTGTGATCTTAACTCCCGGGCAGGAGCGGCCAGTGCCAGAAAAGAGTAAGGAGATGGGCCTGTTCGTTTCGGTGCTCTCCGTGCCGCCTACTTCTTGTTTACGGCTGCAGACTCAGAGAAGATCTCAGGGGAGCTTACCTGGACTAGAACCCGGCGGCACAGCCCGGCTTTCACCAAGGATTTGGCCACCCAGCGGGCGGCGTAGGCTGCTGACCGGTCCACCTTTGTGTAGTCTTTCCCTGAAAAGGCCCCGCCTCCGTGAGCACCCCATCCGCCGTAAGTATCCACGATGATCTTCCGGCCGGTCACTCCAGCATCGCCCTGTGGTGTTACAACGGTGAAGATCACTCAGTGCGTTTTCACTAGAGGGCATGATTCGGAATGTTACGAAGCAAAAGCAGCCAAGTGTCCTAAAAAGATACGGCGGTTCCGAAAACATTCAGCCAAAGGGCACTGCTTGACTCGTCCTGACCTGGGTGGCCCGGAGGGCCCGGTCTCATTAGGTCCTGGAAGCTAAGCTGGGTTGGCCCCGGTTAGTTCTTGGATGGGAGGCCACCGAGGAAGGCCACGGCTGTTGCACAGAGGCAGGCCATGGCAAACCCACCTCCGTTCGTCTCTTGCCTTGAAAACCCCTGAGGGATCGCCATGAGTTGGGCGTGGCTTGACCACACTCTCCACCACCACCAGTGTTCCCTCTAAGCTGAGTTAGTGTGAGCTACCTCACAGTTCTTTAGCCTCCGGCTCACGCATTTTGTCTTCGCTCAGGAAGGGATGGCTCCAGAGCAAACTAATTGACGCAGTAGCCAAATCTCTGGCTCACAACTTTGATGCCAGGAGCTCACAAAGAAGAATTTTCGCTCGCAAAATTCCACAGCTTAGAGGGAGCATTGACCACCACCACCACTACTTAGCTCATCTTAAGATCCACATTTTAACAGATGTGCTAACGATACCGTTGGAAGGATAATCAGCATCAGGGCTTTTTTTTTGTAGAAAAAGCCCAACAGGAACTCATTAGCATAATAGGCCACGCCCACGACAGCACCGCTCATTGGCCTATTAGGCCACACCTCATGCCTTCCCTTCCCTTGGCTTGCCCTGGCCCACCCGCCTCGAAGTTGCTGGGGGGTTGTCGCTGTAATGGGCGTGGCCAACTCTGAAGCCAGCCGGAACGCCATTCCTGTGTGTTCCTGCCCAAAAATAGCCCTGATCAGCACAGTAAGTACCTGAGTGTCTCCTCTCCCTAACTTATCCCCATGTGCCTCTCTAGGTCTACATGGGAGTGCCATTTCTGACAGGAATTCTGTGGTGATTCTTTTTGCTTTTCCGGCTTCTACGTTGGCTTTTTCTGCCTGAATTTTGGGTAACTGTATTTGTTGTTCTCTTTCGGCTTCCATTCCGGCTTTCCCTCTCTCGTAGTCTCTCTCCCGCTGTGCCGTCATAGCTTTTTCTTTGGATACCCATTGGCATTTCCGAGTTAGTGCGATTAGGAAGGGCTGTCAGTTTGATAGTCTGAAATTGGTCACCTTGCCATCAAAAAGGTACGTAGGAATAAAATAACAGTACAAAAAAACAATCAAGCCTATCCCCAAAACCTTCAGAACCAATGCGCCAATATGAAAAGTTGTGTCTGAAAGACTCCCACGCCCAGTACCGGCCGACAACCTTAAAACTAGCCACATAATCCTATGCAGAAGAACAACGTTTGAGTCCAGTGGCACCCTTAAGACCAACAAAGTGTCATTCACGGCAGTGTTCCCTCTAAGCTGAGTTAGTGTGAGTTAGCAATTTGTGTATTGATGTCTATTGTATTGCTGTTCCCTTGATTGCTATTATAAGGGCCAAGAAGCGACAGTTAGAACCGGAGATGGAACAACTGATTGGTTTAGCATAGGGAAAGGAGTACGACAAGGGTGTATATTGTCACCAGTGTTCCCTCGAAGCTGAGTTGGTGTGAGCTGGCTCACAGTTTTTTAGCCTCCGGCTCACACATTTTTGTCTTAGCTCAGGAAGGATGGGCTCCAGAGCAAACTAATTTATGGCGTAGCCAAATCGCTCGCTCACAACTTTAATGCCAGTCGCTCACCAAGTAGAATTTTTGCTTGCAAGACTCCACAGCTTAGAGGGAACATTGATTCACGGTGTAAGCTTTTGTGTGCAAGCACCCTTAAATCTTAGACTGGAGCACCTCTGTATGGGATGGCACTGTACGGTGTCACGAATGTGACTAAACAAGCCACGCTTTAACAAGTCCATAGGAAGCTATTTCAGGATATAATCTGACGCACTTCCAAAGTGACAGTTCCATAACTTTGGAACTGCCACGGGGACACCGTCATGTCTAGCTTAGCCCTAAAAAGGCCTGATTCAGGACCACAGCATGTGGTAAGTAGGGGCTTAATCACACATACACACACACACAGTTTTCCTGACCTGAAACAATCCTATATTGCTACTACCCTCTCCATGTGGCTATTGGTCTCAATCCAAATCAGAAGCCATGCATGCCTGGGAATTACATTCCAAACAGAGAACTTCCAGAGCATGGCTGGTCGACAGGGCTGGGGGGAGGGGGACACACATGGGGGGGGAAGAGGAGGAGGAGGATATTGGGATTTATACCCCGCCCTTCACTCAGAGTCTCAGAGCGGTTTACAATCTCCTTTCCCTTTGCCTCCCCACGACAGAACCTTGCGAGGCAGGTGGGACTGAGAGATCTCTTTAAAGAACTGCCCTTGAGAGAACAGCTCTGAGAGAACTTGTGGCTGACCCAAGGTCACACCAGCAGCTGCATGTGGAGGCGTGGGGAATCAAACCAGGTTCTCCCAGATTAGGGTCCGCACTCTTAACCACTACACCAAGTGGACTTGGTAATCGGTAGTTAGAAGAAGAAGAGAAGAGGAGATTGGATTTATACCCCACCCTTCACTACCCGAAGAAGTCTCAGAGCGGCTTACAAACTCCTTTCCCTTCCCCTCCCAACTACAGATGCCCTGTGAGGTAGGTGGGGCTGAGAGAGCCCTTTCTAGAATTATTTAAGCCCACATATCATAGTGGCTTCTATGAGAAGGAGGGACTCAGAGGAAGAATGTATTAAATTTTTGTTGGTGGATGCTATCCCAGACATTCGAAGAGAAGAAGAAGAGATTGGATTTATACCCTGCCCTTCACTACCCAAAGGAGTCTCAGAGCGGCTTACGAACTCCTTCCCCTTCCCCTCCCCACAGCAGACACCCTGTGAGGTAGGTGGGGCCGAGAGAGCTCTTGATAGAAACTGCTCTTTTTCAAGAACAGCTCTTATCAGAACTACGTCTTGCCCAAGGTCAAACAGCCAGGTGCAACTGGAGGAGTGGGGAATCAAACCCGGTTCTCCCAGATTAGAGTCCGCACACTTAACCACGACACCAAACTGGCTCTCTGTGCAGGGGAAGGCAAACCAAAGCACACCAATGGAAGCTGATCTGATGGAGGTAGCCTTGGTATCTCGCCTCCCTCTGATGCTACTAAAGGACCATTCCGAGATAGGCTGAGTCAAAGGCGATTGGATCCCTGATAGGTTGTTACAGGGGGCGTGGAGCTGTCATTGGCTGTGGCCAGGCAGGTCCACACTTGCTGGTGACAGCCGCTCTGTAGTAGCGAGGAGCCCAACGATAGCTGGCCTTAGGCTGGCTGATGAACGGGGCTTCTCTCTGTCATCTCTCCCTCGGACGCAGCCAGGTGAACTGGAATGGCTGCAAATCTCGCTTACATGAGAAGTCCCTTTTTTTGTGACGCCAGCAGAGTAGCGGCCCGCAGGGCTCTTTTTGTAACAGGAACTCCTTCCCATATTAGTCGACACCCCCCCTACTGTAGCCAATCCTCCAAGAGCTTACAGAGCTCTTCTTACAGGGGCTACTGTAAGCTCTTGGGGGATTGGCTACATTAGGGGTGTGTTGCCTAATATGCGAAGGAGTCCCTGCTACAAAAAGAGCCCTGGGCAGGTTTCAAACTATCTTTTTCTTGGAAGTTCACTGGGTGAACTCAGTATACACACGGAGGGGGAGAGGCCATGGCTCAGCGGTAGAGCAATTACTTGGCATGCGGAAGGGCCCAGGTTCAATTCCTGGCACCTCCAGCTAAGAGGGTCTGAATGCAGGTGATGTGGAAGACCCTGGAAAGCAACCGCCGGTCTGAGTAGACAATAGTGGCTAGGAGGGACCAAGGGTCTGGCTCAGCAGAAGGCAGACCCGTGGTTTCACGTACCTGGGGCCCCCCGATGACAAACCGGCCACTGGGCTGGAGGTGGTAGACGGTGTCCTCGTCCAGGTATTGGGCTGGCACCACGGCCCTGATGACCCGCTCCCGCAGGGCCTTGCGCATGGCCTCCAGAGTGACGGTCTCGTCGTGTTGCACAGAGATCACAATGGTGTGGACGCGCATAGGGATGACCGTGCCGTCCTTCTGGAGATACTGGACCGTGACCTGAGGATGGACAAGAGGAAATGGTGTTGACCACAGGAGGAGAAGGCAGGCCATTCATCTCACCATCTTCCAAAAGACCGCAAAAATATCCTGGCTATGTTTTATGACTAGCACTGTTTATAGGTCTGGGCTTAAAAGCAGACTAAGTAAACTGGTTGTTACTAAGCGGAACACTGTAAACAGAGGCGTCAAGCTCATCTGTTACGAGGGCCGGATCTGACAAAGATGTCACTTTGTCGGGCCGGGCCATGCGTGCCATAAAACGTCATGCCAGGTACCGAAGATATAAACTTTACAGAGGATACAGGCAAACCCCATTAATGATATTTTTTTTACTCAAACTACAAACATACTTAAAACATCAACACTCTTACGGTATTTCCTTATAGTTTTTCCCCGATGCCCACCCCTCCCACTTCCACCGCCTGTCGCTCATCAGCACTGGGACAGGATACAGGGACAGAATGCACAGCCTCTGCCATCTGGCAATAAAGGTAATGACCAGTTGGTCACGGGCCAGACTAGAGCCCTGTATGGGTCCGTTCCAGCCCACGGGCCACATGTTTGACATCCGCGGTTTAGAAGGCTCAAAGAAATGTTCATTAAGGATACATAGGACCGCCCTACTTCTCACCATCTGCCTAAATTTATAGTGAGTCATAGAATCAGCACTGCCCACCACCTCCCGAGGAAGCCTGTTCTACGGAGGAACTGCTCTGCCTGGAATGTCTTCCTAACATTTAGCTGAAAACTCTTCTGATCCCATTTCAACCTGCTGGTTCTGGTCCGACCTTCTGGGGCAACAGATTGTTAAGTATTGTTTTAATGTGAGCCATCAGGGGAGGTTATAGAGAGGCAGCATACTAATTTTCTAACCCATTTCAACCTGTTGGTCCCGGTCTGACCTTCTGGGGCAACAGATTGTCAAGTATTGTTTTAATGTGAGCCATCTGGGGAGATTATAGAGAGGCAGCATACTAATTTTCTAAATAACAACAGCAACAATAATTTGGCTAATTGAGGAGTAAGCAAAAGAAGCCTTATGAAAGTTACAGGTGTCCGTTTCTAAATCACTGGTACGTGACCTGGATTCCTCTGGAACTGGGGAATAAGAGCCTGTTTTTCTGACCATTTGTCATGACCCCTTGTGGGTTGCCACCTTCCTCTGCCACCACTCTGGACTTAGGGTCCCTTGGGAAGGCCCAGAGTAGCCCAACCAATAGGCCCCTTTTAAGCCAAGAACTATAGGCATGATGACCATGCAGAGAACATTAAACAAATGGTTTATTAATACAGTAATGGGGCAATGAAAACCAGGTAAGGTGCTTAAAATATATACAAGTGTGTTTAAAGGCAAAATAAACAAATCTAACGCGACTACCTATTTCTCTTAACTGGTTACTATTCAAGGCCCACAGCCTTTTATACTCACTCTGTCCCAAGTGAGGGATCTTTCTCTCAGACCAGACTGTCCCCTCAGTTTAACTCTGTGAGAGGAAAGAACGCAGTTCCACAGCCCACAAAGCTTAAGTCACATCTCCTCACACAATCCCTGGACACCGACTGGTTACAACCGTCGCTGAGCATTGTGGAGATTGTAGGCTGTCTGCTTTCCACTCCCACACAGGTCTCCTGGGGCCTAGGCCTCTAGGATTTGTCTCCCAGTCCTACACAGATCATGACACCATTGTTTGCACGTCATCCCATGATACTGCCACTTACCCAAGGGTAACTTTGTCCAAGAAGTATCCAGTCAGTCAACTGGCCAGTGTTTTGGTCCTGCCCCACACAGAGCTCTGATTTCGCCCACCCACTGCCGACTCCTCCCTCCTCGCAATTAGGGTCCAGCTCCCAACTAACCTGGGTTTTGGAGTCAGGTCTGAGCCAAGGTAGTTCACCGCTGCGCCTCAGTTCGGCCAGCTTGGCGTTCAGTTTGTGAGCTAACACGATGGTCAGCGGCATGCACTCCTCCGTCTCGTCTGTCGCGTAGCCAAACATCAGACCCTGCAGTGGGAAGGGAAGGATCAATGTTCACGGCAACCGGACAAAGAAGCCTCTTTGTTTTTCTTTCTCTTCCACAGGCGTAGACGGTTTTAAAGGGATTAGACAGATTTGTGGAAGATAGGTCTATCAGTGGCTACCAGCCATGGTGACTGAGGGGAAACTCCACATTCAGAGGTGGTAAACCTCTGAATCCCAGTGCCAGGAGGCAACATCAGGGGAAGGCCTCGGACTCTATGCCCTGTTGTTGGCTGTCCAGAGGAACTGGTTGGCTACTGTGAGACAGGATACTCAACTAGATGGACCACTAGTCTGATCCAGTAGGACTCTAAACAGGATAGGAATGGTGAGTGGCAGAAGAGTTACTTGGCACCATTTCTCCACTGAAAACCACACACACACACACACACACACACAAGCACTAGGCCTCTGAATCCCAGAGCCAGGAGGCAGCATCAAGAGAAGGCCTCGGCCACTGTGTCCTGTTGTTGGCCCTCCAGAGTGACTGGTTGGCCACTGTGTGAGACGGGTTGCTGGACTAGATGGACCACTGAGCTGATCCAGCAGGGCCCTTCTTATGTTCTTATGCATGGCAGCCTGGTGATGGGTAGAAAAAGGGAGTGGGGCTGGGAATTCTCTACCCAGGTCCCCTCGAAATCTGAAACTGGCCCTGACTATGGCTTTCCATATCCTGCACATATACCTTTGTATGCCTCTGACTTGACAATTCTGTATCTGTGTGCGGGGAGAAAGTAGCTGTATTATTCTACTAGCTGACCCAGTATCTTTTGCTTATTTGCTCTGGGCTGAAAAGCTCAATACAATGGAGATGGAATGTATTTTACACTCGAGAGCAATCAATCTGAATTATCGGTGAGTTGTTTTCTTACCTGATCCCCAGCACCCACTTCTTCCTCGGCCCTGTGCAGATGAACGCCCTGAGCGATATCAGGGGACTGTTGTTCCAACGCCACGAGAACATTGCAGGTCTTGTAGTCGAACCCTGTGGAACGGAGTTCCAAATTATGAAGGGCCTTGTGGTCCCGTCCCGTCCCCCCGGTCAATTATGCTTTTCAGGACCACATGGAATTTTTTCCACAAGATCCTGCAGATATTTCCCCCAAGCCCTCTCTAACTAGCACTAGTGAGAAGTACAGGATTTCAGTCCACATGCAAAGAGAATTCCTTATCGGGATCATAGGATATTTTCTGAGGGAAATCAAAACCATCTACCTTGAGGAGACGGAAAGCTCAAAAATCATTTATGTAATATACTGGAAGTGAGTTGCGCAGGAGTGAAAATGGTCTGAAACAGCAGGTATGGGTGTGTCTGTGTGCACAGAACTCCCTTCAAAGTTTTCTCTAACGGATTTCCCAGTCTGTCAAAGGGTTGCCAGTTTGTGGCTCAAGAGGTTAAGTGTGTGAGTCTAGGATCTAAGAGATACAGGTTAAAATCCCCCCCCCCAGCCATGGAAGGTCACTGGGCTATTCACATGCTCAGCCTAACCTACCTCACTGGATTGTTGTGAAGGTAAAACGGGGGGAATCACATGACCTGCCCCTGAATTCCTTGGAGGAAGGATGGGATAAAAATGTATTAGACTGATTGTTCAAACGCAAAAGGGAGACTGGGTGGGGAGACCAGAGGATGTAGCGATGGCCATAGGCACGGGCAGCTTAAAAAGAGGATTAGACGGATTCATGGAGGATGGGCCTATTGGTAGCTACTAGGCAGGGTGACTAAAGAGAACCTCCATGTTCAGAGGCAGTCAGCCTCTAAATCCCAGAAGCAATATCAGGGGAAGGCCTTGGCCTCCGTGCCCTGTTGTTGGACCTCCAGAGGAACTGGTTGGTCGCTGGGTGAGACAGGATGCTGGACTAGATGGACCCTCACTGGTCTGACCTAGCAGGGCTCTTCTTATCAGGGAAGGGCTCGGCCTCTATGCCCTTTTGTTGGACCTCCAGAGGAACTGGTTGGTTGCAGGGTGAAACAGGATGCTGGACTAGATGGACCACTGGTCTGATCCAGCAGGGCTCTTCTTACGCTCTTAAATGTTTATCAGACCTTCCTCAATCAAAATACTACCACCCATTCCAAGCACACATAGGCTGCGATCACACACCCTAAAAAACTCACTTTCAATCCACATTCAATGCACTTTTCTATTGGATTGTGCCAGTTCACACAGTAAAATCCAGTTGGAATGTGCATTGAAAGGGGATTATTAAGTGTGTGTGATCGCAGCCGTGCTGCTGTTTTTCCTGATAGAGGGGGGGAAATATCATGTACTGTATTTTTTTTAATAATATTTATTTATAAGTTTTACACATTTACAACACATAAGGATTACAAGACTTGGAGTGTTTGATTCATTGGAGTGTACATTACATTTTCTTTCGAAGCCACTTATATACTCTAGACAAGTGGTGGCGAACCCATGGCACGGGTGCCAGAGGTGGCACTCAGAACCCTCTCTGTGGGCATGCGTGCCATCGCCCCAGCCAGGCCCAGACCATCATTAAAGTGTCGAATTCTCTGCCAAATAATTTTAAGTAAATGAAAGCATTTACGATTGCTTTCCTTACTTTGTTTGATCATCTTAAGTTAATGTATGAGTTGTTTTTTCTAAAGTAAAACCTCAGTATTCAGGTTAAAGTTTTGGCACTTTGCGATAAATAAGTGGGTTTTGGGTCGCAGTTTGGGCACTCGGTCTCTAAAAGGTTCACCATCACTGCTCTAGACCATCTATTTTGAAAAATTAAATCATCTTTCCCTTGTAAGATAGTGTTAAGCTTGTCCATTTCTGCAATTTCATACTAGAAATTATGAACATAAGTCTAGAATTGTTACTAGAAACGTACTTGCTGAACATTATCCCAGATGGATACGATCAAAAAGATATTTATTTGTTAACTTACCTTCTCACGGCAGCCAGAAGTCTAATAGCTAAGCACTGGAAGTCTGAATGTACTGTATTTTGATTGGGAAAACAGCAGGGGGCGACACTGTGTCGCCAAACCACTATTTCAGGAAGAACTATGAATGCTTTTAAAATTGCGTCAGCGGCTGTGGAATCGATGGGTGGTCTTTTGTATTTTGTATCTTAGCTAAGTATTTTGGCACTGAGCTAAGACCAAAACCGCCTGTTCCGTCAGATATGTGACCACCATCAGAATCCATGCATTTATTCTCCCTTTCGCCCTCAACAACAGTTAGGGCAAATTAACCATGTCCTGACATCACAACAGGGTTCCCCTGATCTCACCCCAAGGCTGGTTCCCTTGGAGAATATGGCTGCTTTGGAGGGTGGAGTCTATGGCATTATATACTGCTGACGTCCCTCCCCAAACCCCACCAAGAGGGAATTGGATAAGCATACGGAGCAGAGGTCCATCAGTGGCTATTAGCCGCAAGGTATAGATAGGAACTCTCAGGCTGGAGCAAGTGATGCTCTGTCTTCTTGGTGCTGGGGGGGGGGGCACAGTGGGAGGGCTTCTAGTGTCCTGGCCACACTGCTGGACCTCCTGATGGCACCTGGTATTTTGGCCACTGTGTGACACAGAGTGTTGGACTGGATGGGCCATTGGCCTGATCCAACATTGGCTTCTCTTATGTTCTTATATGGAGCAGAGGTCCATCAGTGGCTATTAGCCGCAAGGTATAGATAGGAACTCTCGGTCTGGGGCAAGTGATGCTCTGTATTCTTGGTGCTTGGGGGGGGGCAACAGTGGGAGGGCTTCTAGTGTCCTGGCACCCCTGGTGGACCTCCTGATGGCACCTGGTATTTTTGGCCACTGTGTGACAGAGTGTTGGACTGGATGGGCCATTGGCCTGATCCAACATTGGCTTCTCTGATGTTTTTATAGATGGAATACACTGTATGGGGCAAGGGATGCTCTGTATTCTTGGTGCTTTTTTGGGGGGGGGCAACAGTGGGTGGGCTTCTAGTGTCCTGGCCCCACTGCTGGACCTCCTGATGGCACCTGGTATTTTTGGCCTGGCCACTGTGTGACAGAGTGTTGGACTGGATGGGCCATTGGCCTGATCCAACACTGGCTTCTCTTATGTTCTTCTGTCCCCAAACCCTAACCCCCCAAATTTCCATGCATTTCTCAGCCCACAACTGGCACCACTCTGAAACCTGCATCCTTCCATTTCCCACCCACCTTTTGCGGAATCGTCGTAACCGATGTGCCTTATCGTGTCTCTTACAATCCGCTGGTAATCCACCACACCTAGGGACGTGATCTCCCCACAGAGAAGCACCATTCCTGTTTTGCACACTGTCTCTAAAAGAAAAGAGGTGGGAGAAACTGTATTAGGCTGGCTGAAGGATTCCTCTAAAAATCAATACATGCAATGCTTCTGGAATATAAGTCACTCACAAGGGCTACACATTAAAACCTTTCAGGCGGAGGAGATCAGTTCCCCCTGGAGAAAATGGCTGCTTTGAAGGGTGAACTCTATGGCATTACACTCCGCTGAGGTCCCGCCCCTCCCCAAACCCCGCCCACCCCAGGGTCCACCCCAAAAATCTCCAACAAGGAGCTAGCAGCCCTAGTCAACCCCCATGAGTCTCGGGAGACCAGAGTGAAACTGAGACGATTCAGCCAGCAGCCGTCACCTGAGCCCAGCTGCACTGGGAATATATATATTTTTCCCTGAGCCCAAAACAACCCCCTTCAACTGGGAAACAGTGAAGAAACTGTAAGGACAGAGGAGGCGAGTGAGAGTAGGAAAAATCACCTTCTTTTTTCCCTCTCACTCCCTCCTCAACTATTTCTTCACAGATCCCTGAGCATGCTAGTTTTTAGGTTCCATCTCTTTGTGACGCTTAAGCGCACCCGAGCACCAAAATCCAGGATGGAAGTAGGCAGGTTAAGAATCAAACCCTTCCCCAGGCCAAAACCAGCTAAGTCTGGGAATTTCACGCATAAATTGCTTCTGTCTGTTTCTCTGGAATGTTTAGTTTCACTTCTCCCTGCATGCTTATCGCCCCTTAGTCTGAGCTGGTGACCTTGGTACCTTGTTGCTCCTTCTCCCGGGAATGCTTACCCGTTAGGTTAGGCGGCCTTGTGCGTGACTCCTGATTGGCCCTGAGCCGCCCACTGACCCTTTTGATTTCTGTATATCACTGGCTTGCTTTTAGTTCTGACAATGAATGTATGCTCAGAAGACCTGCCTTTACTGGACTCAATAAACTTGAACCTTTTGAAGGAGAGTTGTTGAGAACTGATTACTGCGAGACTCTGACAGGTATTAGGGTTGCCAAGTCGGGTGTTGCGCTGCAGCGGGGGACTCCTGGCTGGCGTCTGGAGTGCGCGTCCACCCAGAAGTGACGTGACGACCCGGAAGTGTTTTCCCTCGGATGACGACCCGGATAGAGTTTTCCCTCGGATGACCGTGGCCCCGCCCCCAGCGTGGTCGCGTCACTTCTGGGTGACGCGCACGTTGGGGTGGGGCTCTCCCCGGGGCCCGATCCGCCGGCGGTGGAAAAAGGGCCCCTGGGGCAGGGGCTTCCCTGCCCCCGGGGGGGGGACTTGGCAAGCCTAACAAGTGTGCATGTAGTGTCTGGAGTGTCAGACTAGTGTCTGGGTTCGAATCCCCACTCACACCATCGAAGCTCGCTGGCCGACCTTGGGCCAGTCACACATGCTCCCAGCCTGACCTACCTCACAGGGTCATTGTGAGGATAAAATGGAAGAGAGGAGAAGGAAGGAAGTTGCTTTGGATCCCCGCTGGGGGAAAGGGCAGGGTATGAACAAATTAAATAAACACCCATATGTTTCCCTCACAGGGTAAACGGTGGCTCCAAGGAACATTTCACATTTGGAAAACAGTGCAGGGGAGAAGGCGTAACCCCTGGTGCCCTCCCACAGTGGTCCCAATAAGTCCACCCGATAAATGAAAATTCAGAACCAAGCATAGGATTTCCAACATCTTTTCTGGTTTGCCCATGTTGGCTCCTTTTGAGTTTTATAAAGGTAAAGGTAAAGGTTCCCTTGCTCGAAAGCCAGTCGAGTCCGACTCTAGGGTTGCGGTGCTCATCTCCGTTTCAAAGCCGAAGAGCCAGCGCTGTCCGAAGACATTTCCGTGGTCACGTGGCTGGCATGACTAAACACCAAGGCACACAGAACGCTGTTCCCTTCCCACCGAAGCGGTACCTACGTATCTACTTGCAATTTCTTGCTTTCGAACTGCTAGGTTGGCAGGAGTTGAGTTTTATGGGACAGCATTAATCAGGTGCCCCGAGACACTGTTTGGAGAGGATGGGCACACCTTCTTCCCTGCTCTCTAAACGTCTGCCAAGGATCTCGGCAGTATACGCCTCCCCCCCACCTCTTGTCACGATAAAGATTTTGCTAGAATGGCAGCGCTCTCCCGCGAGGTGAAAAGGGGTGGATTTCCTACCGCAAGCCACCTTGGCGTTTGGATCTTGGCTCAGGTGGGCATCCAACACCGCATCGCTGATCTGGTCGCATATCTTGTCTGAAAGAGAAAACAGAGCCCTGAGTGACGGAAAGCCATGCTGGCACGTGGCACAAAACCGTGCAGAGGGAACGTGGGCGTCTCGACGCTTCTGAGCCCGTGGAAATCGATGAGGTGCCGCTGTTCCCTTACGAGAAGCCGAAGAGTCAAAGCCAAAGAGAAGCCAGACCCTGACAAGCGAGAAAACGAAGCCTGAATCGAATGGAAGATGTATTCTTTGCAAGGTTAAACTTATGTTGTTGTTCAGTCGCACAGTCGAGTCCGACTCTTCGCGACCCCATGGACCAGATCATGCCAGGCCCTCCTGTCTTCCGCCGTCCTCTGAAGTTTGCTCAACTTCATGTTCGTTGCATCTATGACACTGTCTAACCATCTCATCCTTTGCCGTCCCCGTCTTCTTTGACCTTCAATCTTTCCCAATCTTCAATCTATAAACTTATAACAGGGGACAAACTGTGACAACACAAGGGCCTTCCCTCCTCTTCTCTTCAGCGCGCTGATGCCCAAAGGCCAAGTCAGACTCCTGCGGGCAAGAAAAGGAGTTCTCATCTTTGCTTATGTAGCCTAAAAGCACCTGACCAAACGGAAACCTTCTCTCCCCAACAGCCTCCCTAAATCCAACAATCTACCTGAGTAAATAGGTCGGCTGTGACTTCAGACTGCCGAATCTCACTTTATCTTCCCAAACAATCGAAGAGATACAAAAACCACAATGCCTGTATTGCCCCTTGCTTAAAAAACAGTTTATAAAGTCATCAGGTGCAAACTCCACCTCTTGTAGTGTGAGAAAAAGACCCAATAAACACAAGGTGTGGTGAGCTCTAGGCCTTAGGGCCAGTTCATATTACGGTTGCCGTGCTGGGGTTCGCCTCGGACTTGTATTCAGTTCAAACGTGCCCAGGAGAGATGACCCTGTCTAAGCACTTGGGAATATGCAGTAGACATGTTCCTCTTGCACCACAACTGGCTACAACTTCCTGAGACATGTCTCATAGATGCTGGGAGATGTATGCTATTATTCTGGGGTTCCTGTGGAGAAATACCTTTCCACATGGGTCTGGGATTGACAAAAAGCCCACATTTTGTTTTAGAATTTTTTTACCCTCTGAGCAGAAAACAGGCAGAAGGGGGGAAATCAATTGATCCCAACCTTGCCCAAGTAAAGCCCCGCCGGCAGGACTCTTTTTGTAGCAGGAACTCCTTTGCATATCAGGCGACATACCCCTAATGCAGCCAATCCTCCAAGAGCTGACAGAGCTCTTCTTACAGGGGCTACTGTAAGCTCTTGGAGGACTGGCTACATTAGGGGTGTGCTGCCTAATATGCAAAGGAGTTCCTGCTACAAAAAGAGCCCTGAAAGGTAAAGGCTTCCCTTGCTCGAAAGCCAGTCGAATCTGACTCAAGGAGGTGGTGCTCATCTTCGTTTCCAAGCTGAAGAGCCAGCGCTGTCTGAAGACTTCTCCATGGTCATGTGGCTGGCATGACTAAACACGGAGGCACACGGAACGCTGTTACCCTCCCCCCCCCCGAAGTGGTACCTATTTATCTACTTGCAATTTCTTGCTTTCGAACTGCTAGGTTGGCAGGAGCTGGGACGAGAGACGGGAGCTCACTCCGTCATGCGGCACTCGGGTCTCGAACTGCCAAACTACCGACGTTCCGGTCTGTAGCTCAGCGTCTTAACCTCTGAGCCACCGTGCCCCCACCTTGCTCAAGTACTAGCATAAAATCTTTGGAAATGCTAATAGGCTGTCCCAGCTGTGGACAGTGAAATGGCCGGCTGACACCTTAGCTGGAATCTGACACCTAGAAGTTGATAACAAGACTTGAGGGCGCGAGAAGCTAGACTGGATCTTCCTGGAGATTTCAGGAAAGGATTCTTTGGCCCACAAGGGCGTGGGGAAACATAAGAAATAAAATCCCTTGGCAAGCAGGGAGAGGGCTCCATTTTGACTGATTCCATCTGGAGAAAGGAGCTCTCACACTGAGCTCCATCTTGACGGCCACCGTTGCCACTGGGATCAGTCAAAGGGCTGTCTTTCTGGACAAAGACTCCAAGGTAATGGAAGCTTCTAGCAAACTGTAACTTCTAAATTAAAGAGCTTGTCTTAAAATAAGATCTGCTAGGGCATGTATAGAGCAAGGGACTGGGGAACTGCAGTGTAAGACAGCTTCATGGATGGCTTCAAGAGGGAATTAGATAAACATATGGAGCAGAGGTCCATCAGAAGGTTGGTAGTTAAGCAGTTCGAGACCCAAGTTGCCGCATGACGAAGTGAGCTCCCGTCTCTAGTTCCAGCTCCTGCCAACCTACCAGTTCAAAAGCAAGAAATTGCAAGTAGATAAATAGGTACCACTTCGGTGGGAAGGTAACAGCGTTCCATGCGCCTTGGTGTTTAGTCATGCCGGCCACATGACCACAGAAACGTCTTTGGACAGCGCTGGCTCTTCGGCTTGGAAACTGAGATGAGCACCGCAACCCTAGAGTCAGATTCGACTGGCTTTCAAACAAGGGAACCTTTACCTATAGATAGGAACGGTCAGTCTGGGGCAAGTGATGCACTGTATTCTTGGTGCTGGGAGGGGGAGCAACAGTGGGAGGGCCCCACTGCTGGACTTCCTGATGGCACCTGGTATTTTTGGCCACTGTGTGACAGAGTGTTGGACTAGATGGGCCATTGGCCTGATCCAACATTGGCTTCTCTTATGTTCTTATGTAGGAAGGTAACAGCATTCCGCACGTCTCGGCGTTTAGTCATGCTGGCCACGTAACCACAGAAACGTCTTCAGACAGCGCTGGCTCTTCGGCTTGGAAACGGAGATGAGCACCGACCCCTAGAGTCGGACTCGACTGGCTTTCGAGCAAGGGAAACCTTTACCTTTTTTTTATCGGTAGACTTGCCACCCACTGTGGTTATACATTTTTTAAAATTTCTTTTTCTGTTTGGGGGTTGCAATTGAATTTTTTAAAACTTTTTTTTTTTTTTTAAGGAATGCAAGCTAGATCTTGGGAGCGGGGAGCTCACTCCCTCTAGAGGAAGTGGCCCGAAGTGTGTCAGTCACTGGAGCCCCCTTGCGCTGCAAACCTGGGGGAATCCGTTGCTTTCCCCGCCTCCTTAGCCTGTATGGGGAAACCTCCCCTCCAGACCGGCTGAGAGGCTATTTTATTTCTAGCTAAGCAGCTGAAGACTAACCTTTGCTAACCCCTATTTCTCGGGACTTCTTTTCCTTCACAAATGAAAACCTAAACCACGGGCTGGGGATCTCTGAAATGCCAGCCATTCACAAAGCGAGGGAGGCTTGGCTCCTTCCCCTCGCGTCTGGGCCTCCACCAGATACATGCCCATTTATTCATACGTCGTGGACGCTGTTACTTGAGAGGATTGGCCAATATTAACTCGCTGACCGGTGACTTCTCAGAAATCTGACTCTACGGTCAGAAATAGGAAATGCTCCCGTACGCCGCCCTGTTCCTAGGCTGCTGCTTCCCACCTGCTGTATACGTGACAACTCCGGTTTTACTCGAGTTAGTGTAACGCTTCGTCCCTCTGTCAAACTCCCCTTACAGAATTCTAGCCAGAGCCGGGACAGAGCAATTAAAGCAAAGGAAACTTTCGGCCGCATGTGTGAAACGGTTGTCAGCTACGTCCTGCCATGTACTGATCAAAAACCTGAAAGATGTTGATCGCACTTAGGGCTCTTTTTGTAGCAGGAACTCCTTTGCCTATTAGGCAACACACCCCTAATGTAGCCAATCCTCCAAGAACTTACAGAGCTCTTCTTACAGGGGCTACTGCAAATCGCTCGCTCACCACTTTAATGCCAGTAGCACACAAAGAAGAATTTTTGCTCACAAGAATCCATAGCTTACAGGGAACATTGAACATAACTAAAGTAAATAATCAATAAAAATGATACATTTATGTCTGGGCTGTACCCTCTTGGGCTCCAAGTGGAGATTTCCGTGCCTCTCTACAAAAGTCTCTACAAAAGTCCCTTCGTTCAGAAAATGAGATGTTGGAGAGTAGAGCTTCGTCCAACTCTTTTCCCTGACATGTTACATTTCTACATGAAGGGGATCCCCCCCCCATTCCCCTTTTTGTTTGTTTTTGGTTTGGAAAAGAGATTTTGCTAAGGTGAGCCTCCACCTGCCATCCACACTGCTGTCTAGACGCACCACCTCAGTGGGACCTAGGCCTGAAAGAAAGGAGACAGGGAGGTATTGAAGGGAAGGGATTTTTAAGAAGGAAATAGGCCGTGGAAATATGGCGGGGTGGATTGGAAGAGGAGGGGACACAGGAGGTGGGAAAAGCCAGAAGGAGACATAAACGTAAAGGTTCCCTTGCTCAAAAGCCAGTTGAATCCGACTCTAGGGTAGCGGTGCTCATCTCCGTTTCCAAGCCGAAGAGCTAGCGCTGTCTGAAGACGTTTCTGTGGTCATGTGGTTGGCATGACTAAACACCAAGGCGCACGGAACGCTGTTACCTTCCCACCAAAGTGGTACCTATTTATCTACTTGCAATTTCTTGCTTTCGAACTGCTAGGTTGGCAGGAGCTGGAACTAGAGACGGGAGCTTACTCCGTCATGCGGCACCCGGGTCTTGAACTGCTGAGCTACTGACCTTCCACAGCCTGCAGTTCAGCGTCTTAAAGAAAAGCCAGAAGGAGCCATGTGAATGATAACTGGCCACATTTGTGGTTTTAGCAGTACAGTTCCCTGCAGAGTTACTCCAGTCCAGTCAACGCTTATTTAAATCGGCTTAAATCGGCTTAAAGCAGAGAAATGAGTCAGTGTTGAAGGAATGTGGAATCTCTGTTGTGAATTGTGAAAGCCAAGGAGAAATGGCCAGGGTCCGACATACCTGAGGGACCGCATTTCCCCACATATTCCCCAAAGAGCACTTCGGTCGGGGCCACAACCAGTGTTCCCTCTTAGCTCAGGAAGGATGGCTCCAGAGCAACTAATTTATGCAGTAGCCAAATCACCTGCTCACAACTTT